GATTTATCTGCATTCATAATACACATTGACATAGTAGGGTTGACATTTTATAGGAGGCCTACTATGTATCTATTATCACAATTGTTCAGTACAATTGTGGCAGTACAGCAACTATCAGATATATTTATGTCAGATTTTCAAATAAACAAATGATGACTCTGAGAGTTTAAGTTGCTTCTTCAAAGTCAAGAGACTTAGTGATCTAAGTCTCCTGATTTCAAATCCAATGTTTTTTCCCTTTCTCTGCTAGTTTTAATAACAAAATAGAGCCCAAAAAATTTGGACCACTGACCTGAAATTCTTAAAACTGTCATCTGTTGATTGCTATGCTTATAAATACTCTCAAAATTCCCTATCATACCTCCTCGCTATTTAAATTCAGACAAGTCTGTTTCATGACATCATAACTTTCTAAAACGTCTTATAATGAATGTTTGATGAATTATGAGTGGAATAAGTGAGTATGTGACACCAGGAAGTATGTCGATAGCCATGTGGAATCAGCACTATTATAACTATAAAAACTGTAAATAGTTAAAAGTTATTAAAATATTTTAAATAGTGCCATATAGAAGCACTTACATTTGCTGAACAATTAAAGATACCTTGGCTCTATGAAGTTCAGGAATATTACATTTAATAAAAGGATAAAACCGGGTGCATCTCAAAAGTGTTCTTGTATCACATAATTTGGAAAATTAAAACTAATTTATAATCTTTTAAATAGGACTTCAATATAATTGGGATAGTGTAAAGGACACAAGAAATTCTGAATCTAGGTCAGTAAACCTTGAAAAACAATGATACCCCCCTTTACAAGAATATTAAAATTATTAAACTAATTTTGCATAAACCAACACCCAGGGGAATAATTTTATTTAGACCAAGAAAAAAAAAAACCCCCACAGAAAAAACAAAAGCAATTCAAAGTTGCTCTACTACTTATCAAGCACTTTCTTCATGCTTTCAAAAGTTCACTGCTATGAGAGGTGACCCTGAAAACAGATAAATTAAAATCATTTCCCAAATGTCAAAAGCCAGAGAGAGCAGAGGACTAGTTCCAGGGTCTTCTGATTGACACCCTTATTTCCATTCACATTGTTCCCTCACAAGGAAATAGACGAAAACAAATTACACTGTTCGCTCCGTTACCAGACTCCATCTCTATAGCTCATTTCTCAGTCCCATTACAAACTAGTTCTGGGTTTGAAAGAAAGCCATTTTACTTACTAAATTATATGAGGTTTGACTTTCTTCTTGTACTGAATGAGGTTGTTTTCTTCCATTAATCGCTTCTCTCATCGGGTATTACCTCCGGGGGGACATTAGCCCCTCGTGTCAATGACAAGACTCACTAGACACCCAGGACCCACCACCTTCCCTTCTTGCTCTTCGGGCTCCAATTCAGCATTAGAAACTAAAGTGACCAGATGCTATGCTTAACTTCTTCGGCATAAAGCAGGAAAGGAAACCTTCCGGGTTGTTCATTGACAAATAACGATACTAGTTTACACAGCCTACCTTCTCTAAGTGCAAATGAATACGGAGTTGATTCAACAACAGCGTTGCAAGAGAGGCTGCCATCAAAGAATTAGAGGGGGGTAAATTCAAAAGGATGTGAGAGAGGCTGTCTGTCACAGCCTACAGAGAAGACAGGTGTGTAGAGGGGACCTTCCTGTAGACCTGAAACCAGTAGTGACCCACACAGCTGTGCTTTATTTTTAGAAGGTACACTTCCCTAGCCAAGGATGACCTACCAGCACGTCACCAGAAAGAGAAAATGTAAGCAGATGCCTGTAAGTTCAACTCATTAACTAGGCAATTCACTTCCATCGCCACATGATTTTGGCTTAGGTAAGGGTTCTGCGTAGGGCTGAACTGGGTTGCAAAAGAGATGAATAGCTCTGTTCTCACCTTACATTTTCATACAAAAATGCTTCTATTTCATAAATATGAACGTCCAGTAATAGATGCTTATTAATCATACTTGAGTAATTTTTAAGGAGAAGACAACAATTTTAGAAAGTAAAAAAAAGCTTCAGGAAAGCAGCCCATACATATTACCATTTGGGAATCTGAATATACATAGATCCAAACAGCAAATGCACCATGAATCACAGACTCAAGTTATCACTTGAGATTTATGAGGACAGAGACAGTGACCAAGTTTTGAATACAAAGAAAAATAATTACAGAAGTGAAGAGTTATAGAATCTCCTCTCTGTTGACAATTAAATTCAGACTTGACAATTAAATCCCAACCTTACTTCATTAGATATTAATCTTGCAGTGGAAATGAGAGGCTTTTAAAGGAGCATTTCTGCTATAATAAAAAAGGCTTTCACTACAGTAGAACAATAATGTTGTGTTTAAAGTTAGAACTATTAGACCTTGTTAGCTAATTATGGTATTGGCATCCACTTAAGTTGCTCAGTTTTTCACTTCTGTCATTTTCTCCTATTCAACTGCTGCAGTTCAAAACGTTTTGACTACTTAAAAGGGAATACATCATCGTTGCCTTTCCCCAGTCTAACTGCACACCACTTTCCAAAGCAATAGCTTCAATCATGCTTCATAAAATCCCCTGCAAGTATATTGTTGGAAACATAAATCAGCAAGCTGGGGTTTTAGTATTTCTAAGGCAAGCCCAGGGATCACTAACAGGAGGCTGTGCCATGGCCCCATTTATAACAGAATAAACAAAATTATGAGTTACACTGGATCCATTTCTTTTTCAAAGATTGCTCCATTGGTGTGGCTGATACTTGCTTCTGCATCCTTAATTGGAGAACAAAACACTAGCATAGAAAACTGGACTCTGGGCTCAGGACTGCTGTTTCCAAGCATCTCTGACTTCATTAGGACACATGGCACAGAAGTACTACATGCTCGGTTTCACAAAAGCTAGGTCTCTCTGATAAGCATCTATTCCTCTATGAGTGCCATGCATTTTTAAATTGCTCTAGATACAGAGATCTTTAGAATGATGCTCTCTCCTCCTTCCCTGTTTCATTACAGTGAATATAGGCTCCCTTTCAGGCATGCTTCAGTCTTAGAGTCCCTCTTCACAATCACCCTGCATTTGGAATTATAAGCTAGGAGAATCACAATTTCAGAGGGTGCAACCTAGACCCAAATTAAATGTGTCTGTGTGTAATACTTAAACATTCCTAGATTTCCTTTTTGTCCCCCAAATTCCAACACACTTAGTGTCTATAAATGTAAATTCAGACTCCACAACTGAGACATATTTCTTCTCCAAACCAGTCACAACGTAATCATAAGTCTGCATAAACTTGCTTTCTATTATGCCCCCATCTTACTCCACACTAGCTACACTCGGTTAATTGCAGTGGTATTTTAACTGCAATTTTCAGGGACAGCTTCTGAGGATTCACTAATACCTGTTTGTATTATAAATGAACAGTTAAACATAACCAGCAGCTCTACAAAAATTTAAGCAGCATCATCTGCAGGGCATAAAGTATATGTTGATCTTTGTTACCATAGTGATTAAATTAACTGACTGGCCTGGTGTTAGCTTCAGATGGACATATCTGCAATTTTGCTATGACTGAAATTTTGCATACTCTCTGTTATTAAGGGAAAATGAGCTGCATCTTACCAAGACACTCTATAATAAACTATAGCAATATTCAGTGTTTGAATTCTGATTTCTGAACCTAAAATCTGCATCCAGTCCTGTTTCATCAGCCACTAACACTCTATAGCTTTAGGGAGGTGAGGGCAGAGAAAGGAGGGCTTCATATCCAAAATGTCAAGCCCTGCTGAAGAATGATAGAAAGACCCAAGGAGTGTGGAAGAACAGAAAACAACCATTTCTGGGTTTAAAATGGAGTTCTACCACCCCCTGCTGGACCAAATGAGCAACACAGAGGAGGCTAAAAAAATGCTTAGAATTGAATACAGTGGAGATATTTTAACTTGTCTTGTAATTTATGTTTTCTCAAAAAACAATTTTCATGCCACACTAATGATATAACATTCTATGCAAATATTACACATCACAAAATTACATCTATTTTCTTTTTCTTTAAAGATTTCCACCAATGCATGTTTTAGCATTTTGTGTTCTCAATTAAATGTCCAAACTTGTCTGGACAGTTGAAAATGCTTCCATTTATTATAAATATATTTTATGTGAAAGTGAACTATCCAAACGAAGCAAGATAAATTCAGATCTAGCTCTCTACAGATAAATAGAGACAGCTTCCACAAATTCTCTCAGGTTATTCTAGTAAGCTATTCTTTTTTTTTTTTTTTTTTTTCCTCAAGAGATAAAAATCTCACCAGTTCTCCACAAGCTAAAACATGCCTTACAGGTGTAATTACAATCTGACGCTATAAAAATTTTCAACCTTGATGTATTAACAAGGGTGGGGGAGCTGAGAATGAATGACTGCAACACATGCCTAGTTTTATCCATTTGCCTTCTTACACACAACATCCATGGCCCCTCTCTTAGTTTCAATAAATAAACCATCACCGTTCACTTCATAGTCAGGAATTGGGGTCTTGGGAAAGGGAGGGGGGAGAGTGTCTAAGAATTGAATTTCTTGCACACGAGAGATAATTCAAAAACGAGTTTAATGCTGATAGTTTCTGCTGCTTCTGTAAAACATCATCGTTCCCTTTCCTTCCGCAACCTCAGATATTTAACTGTTAATACACACCAACATACTCATCCAATTTTTGATAATGAAAATCGGAGAAAGCCAAGAACCCGGAAAAAGAAGCAGTTTGCCTCGCTCTCCTGCTCACCGATGCCAATCTCCAATTCTGTATTTTCTCTTATTTAAGGGTCTCCACAGAACAGACCTAATTTTCACCGGCAGCTAAAATAAACAGTGAAAACAATAACAACAACAATAACTATAACTTTAGTTCTTTCATTTAATTCTTCTTGTGCCTCCCTCTGCCTCTCTTGGTTGGGCGGAAGGGGGAGGGAAAGTAAATGCAATAAAGCACCACACTCCTACCTTGCCCGCTACTGACAAGCAACCCGAGCAGGTAGAAGGAGAGGAGGAGGCTCATGTTCAGGACGTGACACTGGAGGACAGTTCCAAAGTTATTAAGTCCAGCCCTGGAGAGAGAACCTTCCGCTGCCACGGCCGCCTCAGCTAGAGCCGCCGCCGCTCCCGTGGTGCCCCAGCCGCCCGCAGCCCGCGCGCTCCTCCTCGCAAAGTGACTGCAAGCTCCGCTCCTTGCCGCACTATATCCAGGCAGCGGCGGCGGCGGCGGCGGCGGCGGCAGCGGCGGCAGCAGCAGTAGCAGCAGCAGCAGCGGCCGCCGCGGCGGCAGCAGAGCCGGGCGGGGAGGGAGGCGGGGGCGGGGGCGCGGAGAGAGGAGGCGCGGCCGAGGTGTATCCCTCCGCGTCGCACGGCGGCCGCTTCTTCCGAGACGCGCGGCCCCAGGATTCGTCCGCAGTCGAGCTCGGAGGCGTGGGTTCGGTTCCCGGTGCCTCCAGCTAGAGTGGCCGCCGCGGTCAGGCTGGCACGAGCACGTCTGCGAGTGGCGGCCGCACGCTCAGCCTCGCGGTGATCCGCACGTTGACGGACGCCCCCGGGCCGAGGAGGGAGGGCAGTCTCGAGTTCCTGCACTGCCGCCGGCCGGTTCGCGGAAGTGGGCAGCTTGAGCTGAGGCTGAGGCTGCAGGCGGCCACCCGGCCCCGCGCTCTAAGCGCGCCCGGACTTAGCGGGAGCGGGGGACCTGGGGGCGGGTGGTATTTTCTGCTGCTCTCATTCCTCCAAGGGCGTGGGAGGGGGAAGATTCTGTCTCTCCCAGGCCTTCCCTCTCGCTCAACCCTTCAGCAGGCTGCCCCCTTCCCACGCTTTCCACTCTGCCGCGGCACAAGGGGAGCGGTGTCCTCTAAGTGCCTACACTGCTTGTCTCCTCCGGCTCTAGAGGGTAGGCGGAAAGATGTGAACGGTGTTTCTCATCCACGTCGACCCACTGCCGTTAAGAGCAGGTACTTAAGGGAAAGAGATTTGGCGGGGTGGGGAGCTGAGATGTTGGAGGGGCTGCGTTAAACTCGGCTGTCAGCGTCTGCCGCGTCCTTGGACAAGTCCGAAGTCTCCCCTAGCCACTCTCAGCGGGCTCTGCCCTCGGTCCCCAACGCACAGCACCGGCCAGGTCCCCGCGAGGTGTGCGACGAGGGAGGTCCTGGAAATGTACAAAGATGAGTTGCGCGGGGATCCGTCCCCAGCCCTCCCACCACGCATACACACACCTGCGTGTGCGCGCGTGTAATTTGGAATGATGGGGCCGTGGCAGGCGCCCAGAACTAACTCTCCTCCGCTGAAGGTTGGGGTATATCATTACTCTCCTGGAAGGGTAAGAAAGATTTGTCAGTGTGATGTCAAGCCTGCGGCAAGAGCGAGCCAGAGTCAGACTCTCTGGCCCCAGGGCCCTCGTCGGTCAGCCTAGGTCACAGTGCCCGCTGGAATTGACCATGGATCCTTTCATGTGCACGTTCCTTCTGGTTCCTTAGTGTACTCCAAGGCCTCACCTCATAGCCAGTGAGACCACTGGTCATTTCCTTATCAGTGAGGACACAGAAGTAGCAAGTCGGAGGGGATAGAAATAATTTCAGAGCTCAGAATCCAGCCCCCTCCCCTTCCCCCTAAACACACCCAACCGGATTTGGTGCTGATTTGTGGTTTCCTTGCTTCAGGAGGGCCGAGGGGGTAGACATAGAAACAAGCTAACATGGGTAGGGGAGATATTGTCTGCGATTTGTGTCCCCTCCCCGCCCCCCGGGCAGAACACAATCTTCTTACACGGAAGATTCACGTACTTGGCATGTGGGATGGGTTTTTGAGATTAGTGGAGGCAAAGGCAGCTGTCAACAGACACCATGGCTGGGCTGTAACCAATGGGCTCTCCGCACCTCGCAGTTTGAGAACGTCTTCCTTCTATTTGATTTTACGGGAGTACATTTAGGACAATATATTTAGGAAGTTCTTTTGTCAGAGCTCCCGCTTCACACCCTTTCCTCATTCTGGGAGGCACCAACTGTGCTTAAGTAAGGTCACAGTCAGCTCCTTGCAGGAAAGGGTGGAAACAGCACATTCATAGGCGTGAATGGCAAATGCCTCCTTTAATTTCACCAGTTCTGGATTTCTCCAGGGAATCAAGAAATACCGCCCCCCCCACACACACACACAGAGTCACAGAAGAAATTTGAAAGGATACTACCCCTGTCAAATAGCCTCTTCACCAAAAAACCTGAATTGTTCAATGTGACATCAGGACAGTCAAGTGCTCAATGACATACACACACACACACACACACACACACACACACACACACACACACACTCCTGGTAGTCTTGACAATTAGATTCCCTTATTTTTTTTAATTTTTTTAAATGTTTATTCAATTTTGAGAGACAGAGCGTGAGTGGGGGAGGGGAAAAGAAAGAGGGAGACACAGAATCTGAAGCAGCCTCCAGACTCTGAGCTGTCAGCACAGAGCCAGACATGGGGCTCAAACTCACAAGCAGTGAGATCATGACCTGGGCTGAAGTGGATGCTCACCTGACAGCCACCCGAGTGCCCCTAGATTCCCCACTTTATTGTTGGAAGTCAGATTACTTTTATATCATAGTGTTGAACTATGCCAGAGGAGAATTTGACTGGTGTCCTTTGAGGTTATTTAGCTATTAAATCTTCTTAGAATATGGCGGAGGGAGGAGAGAGGGTAGAAGTGATCCATCAGACATTAATGAAATTTCTGAGTAGAGGTTTATATCACAAGACCATGTACAAACTATCTGTGAAGGGTGGGGGGAAGGAAGTGTGTGTGTATGTGTGTGGGTACCTACCTGTGTGTGTGTGTGGAAACAATGAACAGATAAAGCATTGGTACTCAGGAATATACAAAGGTGATGTAAATATCGATCCTACCTTCAATTTGCTAATAGTGTTATTGAATAGATCAAGAATAAACACAAGTTGTGATCATATAAATCAAGTTGTAAAAATGTCATAAGAGAAAACAAACTGCTATTGTGACATAAAAGGAGGGGATCATTTCTGAATGGAGGATTGAGAAAGGCTTCAGGAAGCTTTGAAGAAAGAGTAGAAATTAGATAGGGAGCGACATGGGCAGGACAGAGAGGAGCTTAAGCAAAGCCTGGGGATGTGAAAACACACAGCTTGTGTGGAGAACAGAAGTCTAATTTGAAAAAAGTGCAGAGTGTAAAGTATAAGGATTGGATGGAGTTGGAAAAGGGGTCTAGGACCATGTTGTGCTAAAAAAAATAAAAAATCTCAGTAGTATTTGCAACCTCTCAGAATATAAATCCAGACATGCATGGTGAAGAATGGCTTCACAGAATGGCTCTCTCTCCTTCCCTGGGGCTTAAGTTGTGAGTCGTGAGCCCATGGGAAGAGTATCAACCCAGGCTCTTCTATGGGGTTTTATTCATAGTTAGCCTGAATTAATGTTGCTGTGAGGTCTCGATAGCTGGGTGACACATAGTCCAAGAAGGCCTCCCCACACTTGCTCAAGCTGCTTCTTACCCAGAGGTTAAAGTGCCTCTCCAAGGCTCCTTCAGAAACACATTCATTCGCCATTGCAGTGATGAAATGACATAAAGCCTGACATTTGCCTTGGTCAGTTCTGCTTCGCAACAGATTGCCAGTGAAGACAACATGTAGAAAAATCACCTTCGCCCACTGACCTCCTCCCCACTCCAAGGGTACGCTTCCAATGTGCAGACTCTGAATACTGTTATCAAATGTACCAAATCTCTGAACATGACTAAGCCATGAGCACTAGGTAGGATAAAAAGGTATAGAAATGCATTCTCCCTCCTTTATGTGACTCATAATTACATATAAGACTAATTATCATAATCTCCATCTACCTGGGGAAGTTTAGTTGGCTTAGTTCAGAGGCTTAGTTGGGGCTTTGGTTATTTCATTTATAAAAATAGAGAAAGTTGAACAGAACTCAGGAAGCTATGAAGAGCTGAGTGGTAGGAAATATCAACAGGACTGGATGCATGGTTAAATGAAAGCAGATAAATTTGTTTTAAAAGAATCAATAAAGTGAACATGAAGGAGTAGCAGAGAGATAGAAAACGATAAGGTGCATTATGTGTGGAAATTATCTTCCCAGAGAGAGTCTACTTCTTTCATCTGCAATCTGTTCTTGCAAAAGGCATGCAGGTATGCAATCCACACGTAGATCCTGGGCATGAATGGTGAGTTGTGGGCAGGATTTAAACATTGGTTCTGTTTGTGTATTTCTGATGTTATTTTTGTTTAGTCTCTGTTAACAGAATTCATGTGTGTTAAGATCATACTATTAGGAAATGGGACATTCTGGGCGTTCATTTATATTTTTGAAATGTCATAAACCATTATGCCTATTCATTTACTTGTCTAGAAAATTGCCTGTTTTGACTTTTTTTTTATTACCACAAAGGAAAAAAAAATTCACTGTGTATATAGGCAAATAGCCTGAAACCTCTATAAATAGATTATCTTGCTCTTGCTTTTCCTTCTCCATTAATGCCATTTTTTCTAACGGTCATGCCTTTGAAAATAATTTCAACATTCTGGATACAACAGCACTTTAGATGTTTTACCAGGCTATTTGTGAGCAGCTGACAGTAGCTACTTTAGCAGTAGAATTTAGATTTTAACACCTTCCTTTGTAAATGCTTTACTTTCTTAGCCGTTCTACTTGAAATTAAGAAACAGAAGAGAGAGATTTATGATACTTGAGGCACCCTAATTGTCACATATTCTTACTTTTTAATTTCTTTCAAGATACATGGGGTCATTTTCCTTCATGGCTACTTCATGCTCCCTCTGGGCAAATAACTGCTCACTTCGCTCTGAAATTATGCAATAACTGCCTATAATTTGCCACTTGCCAGAATAATATTTTCTTAACTCTAAGGGGTATTATATTTTTCTTCACCGAGACATCGCTGGCAAATATAATGATGGACAGAGCAGATAATGTATTGAACCTAAAACACATTGACAAAACAGTGAGTGACACAATTTCAAGAATACATTCGGGCAAAGTGAGATAGGAAAAAGGGATCAAGCAGTGGCTAGCAATGAACCTCTTTTATATGACAAGGAGCATAATGGGAAGTGCTGATTGCCCAAATATTGATCACAGCACTCAGAAATCATATTTTTGTCCATAAGGAGTATTGACCAAGGTGATGTCTGCACAAATCCCATCATGTGAAGGGCAGTTATTACATCCTAGATAACAACAAATCCTTCATTTCTGCCAAGTGATCCTATATAGGTATAGGT